AGCCTTTGACCGACCGATATCGGTCACGGTTATGACCGGTTATGACCGGTCATGACCATAACCATTAGCATCCCTAAAAATGATAGGAGTTAGAATAGAACTCCTCACAGATATGACTATGCATAATTTAATCAAAAAAGCCAAGCGTGAAGGTATATCTATGATATTGATGGTTATTGTCACTTCTAATATCTTATTAGATATAAAAATCAAAAAATATTATGCTGATTTTCTTCGGTAAACCAGTTTTTATATGAAACAGGATTTAAATTAAAATCCAGTTTACCAAAGAAAATGGTCTACAATCGGATTGTAAAAAGTCAACCAGTTTAAAACCAGTTTCTGATCACATAACCGGCTTGAAGACTATAACAATAATGTTTGGTTAAATACAAAATCATATTTTTTTTATTTATTTTTTTTTTTTAATAAAAATTAATAACCGAAATATTTTTATAGGATCAGACTTTTTTCTGATAATTTTTCAAAAAAACCGATAAATTGAATAAATCTAAAACCCTATTTTTAACCCTGAATATAATACTCGGGTCATGTGATTCGCAGAACACCGCAGAATTTTCCTTAAATGCAAGATCACAGAATCACGTGAAATTATAAAGATCGAATTTTGAAATTTGTTTTACAAATTAAGTAACAAACATGGCAACGCGCAAAAAAAGTTTCGTATTAATGAACATCCTGGTGTTTTTAGAGAGAATGAAGGTATTTTATTTTGCAACTTTTGTGACTTCTCGGTTGAATGGAAGTCAAAATCTACCGTTGATGGATATTGTTTTTCAAAAGGGCGAATCATTAAAAAAATTTAATATGTTATATTTTAATAAAAGTAATTGAGTTTAAAGCAAATTATTTATTATTTATATTTTTTTTTAAATACATAAAAACACCGAATTGATTTTAACCACCGCAGAATTACATAGAATGTACGAAATCGGTATCGAATCACATCACAGAATTTGGTTTTTATCACGCAGAAAATCATCGTCCCTGTCAAATGGGTTGGTACGTAATTGGTCTCTTTCGTTACACGAAATACACAAGATACAAATTCACGATATCAACACTTCACGTGACTGGGTGATTAAGCTTTGAATACGCAATCTTTTTTTTTTTGTTCTGTTTCAACTCAAAAATCTTTACAAAATGGCAAATTTAAAATCTGGCGAAGTTAGTCTCGGGGTTAGTGTTATCTTTTAATATATTATAATTAAAATTTACAAAGTTTCAAAATAGTTCGGTTAAATTTTATAATAAAGAATATAAGTTACAGTTCTCTAATTATGTTATGATTAACGCAGACTTCACTCATGGCGGTTAAATTTGGGGATGGAATTGTTATTGGAGCAGATACTCGTACATCGTTCGGTTCCTACATTGTCAATAGAGTATCTGACAAATTGACACCAATCCATGATAAAATTTTCGCCTGTCGTTCCGGTAGTGCAGCAGATACACAAGCGATTTCTGATATTGTCCGTTTGTATTCAAAGATGTACTCGTAAGTATATTTATAATCGAGATAGTGTCCATGTTAATAAGAAAAACAAACTAAATTTCTATCTAATAAAAAAAGTGTAAATTATGGAGAAGATCCAACAATTCGGACTGCAGCAGCTTTATTCCAAGAATTATGTTATGAGAATAAAAATAATATTTCAGCTGGTATTATTGTTGCAGGATGGGACAAATACGAAGGTGGCTCAATATATTGTATTCCTTTAGGAGGATCTTTGCATAAACAACCATTTGCGCTTGCAGGTAGTGGTTCATCGTATGTCTACGGTTATTGTGATACTAATTACAAAGAAGATATGACCCAACAAGAAGCTGTAGATTTTGTCAAAAATGGTAAAAAAAAAAAAATCTTTAAATTTATTTTGACAGAATATTCTTTGATTTCTTTTATATTTTTCGTTTTCTAGGTCTCGCATTATCGATTTCAAGAGACGGATCTTCAGGTGGATGTATTCGAATAGCCACTATTACTGAGGCAGGTGTAGACAAAATATTTATTCCTGGTGACCAAATACCCAGTAAGTTACAAGATAAATAATTTCAAGGAAGGATGATATTTATGAATTTCTATATTAACTTTAATTTATTATTTCCTTGTAGCATTTTGGGACAAATCTTAATTAAGATGTTTATTAAGAATAAATTTGGTAGAAGTTTATACATGATTGAATTATTTTTTTGTTTCCATTAATTTCTTAAAGTGATTCAAACCGATATTTGCGCGTCTTTGTGCGTCATAAAGTTCTCCACCTGATGAAGTTAATTTAATTGCATCTGATATGGTTCGATTTCTAAATTATACAAAAAAAAAAATTTACTACGCGAAATATTCTCAGCTACACGTGTAAATAAAATAATTACATTGATTCGACTGCGTTCAATATACCACGAAGTTCATAAAGAATTTGAGTTTCGTGGTTGTTAAAAACTCGCTGTTCTTGTTCTTTAAGATTTGAAGTTAATATACTAAGGATAAAAGATAATTGATGAATTTACGTGTAGATTGAGATAACATCTTTAAAAAAGAATTTATAAAAATACCTATTATCAGACATGATTTTGAAAATAATACCCTCGAGCGGTAAAAAAAAAAAAAAAAAAAAAAAAAAAAGAAAAGGTCACGATAAATAAGCTCATGAATAAATGATTTCACGTGTGGCTTGTGTTTATCAATTATCTGAAATTCATTCATAATAAACCGCTACACATATATATATATACACGTATACAATATTATAATAAAAGCTATACGATGACAAAACCAAGACCGTCTCTCTTTTCACTTCCTACTGAAACACTCCTTCAAATTATTTCCTTTCTTGGTTCTGCACATCTTAAACAACTTTCACTTACTAGTCGTTCCTTACATTCTCTTACCCCTAACTATCTTTTCAGAACTGTAGTTGTTTACAATATTTCACGTTTCTTTTTACAAAAACTAGTGCCAAAATATGGTCAGCATTTTAGAATTTTAAACGTTCAAGGTCGAGCTTCTCAAGAATTTATCGATCAACTTTCTGCTTTATTAAAAATATTAGACGATTACTGTGACCGCCTCGAAAATTTTAATATTATTGTGTTAGAACAAAAACCTGGATTATTAGAAATAAATGCACCTTGCTTTAGTCAAAGTCTTTGTAGATATAGATCTAAATCTTTAAAATTAACATGTTCCGCTCAATTAATTACTTTTTTGGATACATCGGATTTAGGTCTATTGGTACATGCAGTCATTCAATCAGTTTGGTCATTAAATCATTATACTGAAATATATGGTTCCCAAATTACAAGAGCTCGTTTATCTTTTGAAGGTTTATCTGATGTTTGGGTATTAGAATTATTTAATAATTGTCCTTACTTACAAGAATTAGTTTTAGAAAGAAAATATTTAGATGATAATATTGAAATAACCGATGCTACTTTGAAAGGATTATGTGATCTTTCAAATACTTTAAAATCACTCTCTTTCATTTCGGAATGTAACTCTCCTGTTACAGAATATTTTACTCCTGCTGGTTGGAAACGAATGTTAATCGGTACTCCTAATTTAGAAAAATTGGACATATCAGGGCTAGATTTATATTTTACTGCTAATCTATTACCTTTAATTGCTGCTCATTATAGATCCCGACCTTTATGGTAAGTTGGTTTTATTTTCATATTTTTTTTTTTTTTTCCCATTTTTCATTAATTTTAATTATTATTGTTATAAAATAGGTTAAAATTAACAAATTTGTTAAATCATTTACCTTCTCGAAATAAACATGAACAAGAACTCATAAATTTGATTGTTCTTTGTAAAAACAATTTATTATCATTGGAATCAAGTTATATTACAGATAACGTTATTAGATGTTTAGCCATATATTCTCCAGGATTAATTAGATTATGTTTAAATGGTGATTTACTTAATAATAGAAAAGAATCTTTAGATCTTATTGAAAAACATCTTATAAATTTAGAAACTTTTTATACTTGGAATTTAATACCAGAGAAATGGCCTATTGGTTTATACGAAAGATTTGGTAAATTAAGAAATGAATATAATCGTTTGGATGATGAGGATGATGAGGATGATCTTGATGATGATCAAGAAGTTATTTCATATTTACGACGCACTAGTGTTGATGGTCAATTACGTAACAAGTCGCGTCGAGTTTTTTCTGCCAAAAAACATGGTCAATTGATTATTGTAGCCATATTTTTTTTAATTTCTTATTATTTTACAACACAAGAGGGAATTAAGTAAAACTTTATTTTTTGGCAAAAAGAAACTATCTTGAATAGATTCTTATAGAATATTTATTTCATTGTGTATTTTTTTTTACTTTGCATAAATATTTTTAATATCTTTATTTAAATTATTTTAATGTAATTACTGGGTACCAAGGATGATACTTAAATTCAAAACTTGCTGTCTTATTATCCTTCTGCAATGAAATCATTTTTTCCGACTGTATTGATGATGACTTCATTGGTTTCTTACTTTTTTGTCGTTGTTTCTTCTTTTGCTGTTTACGACTAGTCGTGGTATCACTTTCTTGATCGTTATTTGGATCAAGTATGGGTTTACCAGTCGTAATGATATCACTTTCTTTAACATTATTTGGATCAAGTATAGGTTTATATTCCTCAATAATTTTATGCAAATTTACAATATTTGCAATACATACACGTAGCATAGCTCGTAATTCCTAAAATCATGAAACAAAGCTTTAGAGATATTTATATATATTTATTTATTTTAAAAAAAATAATTATTTACCTTTGTATAATCATCATGACAAAAATCCATCTTTAATTCCGAAGTTTCCATTGCTAACAAGCTCTCTATTGAAGATCTAGCTGCCTGAAAGTTTTGCAAAGATGCATTGATAAGATCTAATGCCTAAAAGACGGAATTTACAATCTAAATTAAATTCTTATGTAAAAATTTTTAATTTTCAAAATCCATTCATACCGTAACGTTATCAAATTGAGTCATTTCCTTAAAATCCTTATATGAAAGTATTGTTGGGCTTCCCAATGTTTTGTAAATTCTGAATCTATGCCAAAATCTAGTACTTTCGTCATCAAACTCGAGCTGTGGATATATTACGTGTCCAGTTTTTCGAAGTGCTGATATGGTCTTTTTTTTTAAAAAAAAAAAAGGAATAAATAATCATTAATTTACGCTTAAAATATATATCCAATAAAAAAAATTACCCTATGGATCCCTCGACATATATCTTGTTTTGCCATCATCATCATTTGTTGGCTTATCAGTAAGGATACAGAAGATGCTGATGATGGTGATGCTCGAAAACTTCCATGCTGATCCTTATATTTTATATCTGAAATATTGAAAAATAAATTTTTAATAACGAACTTTGTTTATTCCAAAATTTCACATTAAAATAAGGTACCAGTAATGTGCATGTGAATTCTCTCCAAATGCTGATAGTGAACACCCAATAAGTAATCAATATACCTACAAAAATTGGTTGGTTAAAAAAATTTATAACTTGATAAATAATATAAATATAATTAAAAGTACATATTTACTAACCAATATATCATCACATATTCGTGAGTTCCGTACAATTCCAATTCAAATCCAAGAAATAATATAGTTTCCAGTAACTCCAATTTTGTATGATAAACCCAGGACGACAAATGAAAGGAGTAAGAATCTCCTTCCTATACGTTTAATAAAATTAATTATTTGGAATCGATTATCGTCAGCTAACAAGTTAACGACTTCAAAAAATTCGTGATCTATTCGTAAAAAATGAAAATTCATTATAAATACATCTGTCACAATAGGTTCCTCATGGGTTAATCTCTGTAATTCTTTGTCAATATGTTCCGCCTAATGATTTTTAAGTAAATAAATAAATAAATATATTTTTATAATGAATGTTAATGCATAACAAAATACTTACTTCTTCTTGTAACAAATCCCAGTCGTTTAAAACTTTACACATATTACGGCGCTGTCTTGAACGGTTATGACATAAAATACGATAAAGGTCTGTCAACGGCTTGAGTTGACGATTAATATTGTAATGAAGTTGATTCAATACTATATATAAACTTTATAACAACATCGATATATTATTAATACCTTAACTGTGCTATCAACAAAATTATGAATCAATTTTGATATTTTGGATACGATTGCATAAATATGGACTTTGTTAGGTAATGCAGCAACCACATCTATGTTAAAAGAAAAAATTATATATGACGGATTCGTCAATTCTTTTACAGAATCTTTTATCAATTGAAACATCGACATTTTACCAAGAACACGATTCTCGGTGCATAAAGTCGACTAAAAGAATTTGTAATATATCAATAATACAAAACTATAATAATATTAGATTTGAATGAATTAATTATTATAAATATTATTTTTATTTTTTTTTTACATTGTACATACTTGTAAAATTGACCTTGAGAATGCACAAGGTGGTGGTTGTTGACTAGCATGATAAACCAAGAAATTCTAACAAAACAAAGTTAAGCAATGTGAGCTTTACTAAAAAAAAAAAAAAAAATTCGTTAAATCAAATATTTCTTACCATTAAGCTAGTCGCTGATTTGTATTCGATAATCTCGCAGGTTGAATTTAGACTTTTAAGCATATTCATCATTTCATCAACAGACTGTAAAATATTAACTAATATAATTAATAATTAATACATATAACGAATAAAAATGTAGATATAATAATTGATCACAGAAGAAAAAAACAAATTTACCTCTTGCATTGTTAAAAGTTGAGTTGGTCGTGGTGGTGTTTGGGATACGAGCTTTCTATTAATTAGCGGATCAAAAGCTAATAAATAAGGAATCGAAATTTGTCGTAAGTTAATTGAAGGCGTTCAATCCATTCGTAACGATAAAAAAAATATACACACATACCACCAGTAACATCGATTCCTAAACCAAAACAGTTATTGTTTAATTCATCCTTAATTTCATTTAACAATTGTATTGACATATTAAGATGTCGCTGCGCTTGAGGATATTGTTGACAACGTGACTGTGACATACAAATTAAACCTAAAAGAAGGGTCTAATAATATTATTTTTTTTAAAAAAAAAGATTATATTTCAAAAATTATTTGGTATTCATCAAAATATTGTATTAGCCATGTTCAAATTGGTTCGTTCGGTTTTTATGAATTTCGAAATCTTACAAATTTCTCAAAGGAAAATCCTAAATTAGAATAATTCGTAAATCCAACTGCTATCCTTGATCCTTGAGTTCTAACAACGGGAAAAAACCTAAAAACCGGACGAATAAATTTGAACAAAGCGTACTATAGTAATGTATATGTAAAAAAGTAATGAATACTTTTCGTAAGCAAAGACGTGAAAGTATTGCTCGAATAATATTTTCACAATCATGGTGACCTGATTATTTTTTTTAAAAAAAAAAAAAAAATTTTTAGTTAAAATGTCATAATAAAAAAAAAATTATACACAATAATTCAAATACCTTTCTTACGGATCCATCTACAACCGTGCTGTTCCATCCAGGCTTCAGCATCTTCTATTAATTTTATACATTGTGAGTATGGAAAATCTTCATACATCGAGACACCATATTTATTTGCAGAAAAATCTTCTTCCTAAGGGAAGAAATTAATCGTTATAGAAATAAAGGAATTATGTACTAGATTTGTTAAATAATTATATCTTACTTCATAGACATTTCCTTTTGTCATCTCATACAATACCAAATGACAACATTTCACAGTACCCAGAACATACGCCTTTAAAACTAATATTACAAACTCCATAGGCAAGTTTTCATCATTTGAATTATTAATGAATAATTCAGGACCAAGATCCATAACGTGGTGAAAATACATGCAAGTAAAAAGCGTTTGAGAAAGGGAATGTCCAGCATGCCACGTCATCTAAAAAAAATAAAAAAAAAAAATTTGAAAATTGAAAATAGATAAATTATATTTAATAAAATAATAAATTACTTCGCAAGTAAACAAATTATCTATAATTCCAAGAACTTCTTCGGGCTTTAAACATGCGTGTAACTTAAATTGCGGTTTATTTAAATCGCTTTCTAATATCATCCCGCTATCCATTTTTGGATCCATTATCTATAAAAAATATAAAGTTTGTAAAGATCGAATATTTTTTGATCGGCTATTATAATCGAAGATTATCAAATAACCTCAATTGAACTCATCGCGTCATATAGGCCAAATGATTCAAGATGTACAAGTTGACCAATTTCGAATTCTATTCTTTACAAAATAGATCAAGCAAAAATAATTGATGAATTGTAAGAATATTTAAAGAAAGATATATTTTGATGGATTAAGGGAATTAATAGTACCATCTGTAGCTTCATCTAAAAATGTAGTAATATCTTTGTATTGTGATAATAAAAAGCTTCTTGAACGTTCTATATTTTTTCCAATTTGATTGGTAGTTAAATTCAAATTTGACAAATCAACTAGATATAAAAAAAAATTTTTTTTTTTTGTAGTTGTAATTGGAAATGTTATATAGAACACTTAAACAAAAAAAAATACCTTGTGTATTCTCCACAAGCTCGTCTTTACTATGTAAAAAGTATTTATTATGCTAAGCTTGATAAATTTAATATACGCAAATAAAAATGAATTATGAGACAAAATAAACTTACGGTAATTCACTTGGTAAAGTCATTTTAAGAATTCGACATATCAATCAGATTCCTTAAATATAAACTTCCACGTGATTTTTCTATTTAATCTAATAGAATTTACAATTACAAAATTCGAGTAACCTAACCTTAAATTTCTCAGAAGTCGCGACACTGGCTCTTTTTTCGATCAATTTTCTTTCTATAAAATCGTGAATTTTACGATCCTTCACATAATAGAAATGAGTCGTTTTACACCATCTAAAACTCTTTTCAAAGACAGTAAAGAAATCGATAAATATGTCTTACACAACTTTGGCAAGAAACCGACCTCGATCCAAATTAAACATTACTGGATCTCTATCGCAAAATTATATTTCAATCTTGGGAATTACAGTATGACTGCAGAATTTCTTTTTAGACTTTTATTAATTAGCCCTCAAAGTTACGAGGTAACAGGGTCCTTTTCATTTTTAACGTATTAAATTATTACATATTTACTAACAAGTATAGCTGAATAGGCATTAGAATTACTAGGTAACTCATATAAAAAACAAGAAAAGTTGTCAAGCGCATTAGAATATTACGAAAGGTTAGATCAAATTTTTTTACATCTCGATTTGACTTCATACGAATTAAATTTTATTGTCATCGATTCAAATAGAGCTCTTTATATTCCAAATGCACCACAAACACTTGCATATGATGGTAACTTTATTATTATTATGTTCATCCTTATTGATATTGATACTACAATTCTCGAATCTACTTAAATCCATAAGCTGCTGAGCTATGTATACAGTTAGCGAAAAAGCAAAAGGAAGAATCAGAAGTTAAAAAGTTGGCGACAAAAGCATTATATTGGATAGAAAGGTTTATTTCTTAAAGTGTCAAATTTACAAACATATTAATGAGATCTAATAATTTACATATCTGACTAATTTATAGATCACGTTCATTGAATAATAATAAATATGACATTCTAGCAATTCAATTATTGAAACAAACATATGCTATTTTAGTACGTTATGCTGAAAAACAATTAGATAAACGCTCATGTCTGAAACGCCGAGAAGGAACGCCCCCAGGTTGATTATTATTTATTTGACAATCTAAAAACAATATTTACAATTATTAATTTTTTTAAAAATTCAGTGGTAGCCATCAAATGGATCGATGATTCCGTAAAAGATCTAATCTTATTAGAAGAAACATTTATTGACCCTTCATTACAGATATTGTTAACCAAGAGTCTGTTAAAGATTCAAGATTATCAACGGTAAAATTGATCAAATTTTATTACCATCTCTCTTGAAAAGAAAATTAATTTTAATTTGCATTATTAGAGCATGGAAACACATAACTCAACGTCGCTATAACTTCATTGATAGTTTAGAATGGAACACTTTTGTTAAATCAACGTTTTCAAAATTAAAATTGGAGGCCACAATCGATAACCAAAAGGACCCTTTACATGAACCTACCGAATTGATATTTTTTGCACATGATAACGTTGTGAGATTATCACTGAATTTGTGAGTGTACATTTTATAGTTAGTTTTTGCCATGCTAATATTTAATTTTGTTTTCTTCATTCGTTCGTTTATAGATTTCGTGAAGAGTCTGTTAAACTTGTAAAGGAATTTTCGGATTTAGTTAAAACCTGGGAAATTCCTGAGTCACAAAATTCTCAGTTAGTTGAAAAATGGACACGATTCCAACAGGTTCTCATACTAAATTTATTTTTATTATTTGAATATTATTAAATTTGAGATAATAATCTAACTTATTTAATAAAGGAATATCAATCGAGAAGTTTACGACACGATGGTTATTTCCAATTATACCTTGCCTCCTCTGATCTGGTTCAATTCCAAAATGCTTCTAAAATACAAAAAAATCAATACCACCTAAATGCTGCTTACTTAAAATTCAAATCTTGTTTATATTTTCGACGTGAAACTTTCCGTGATCCTTCTCGTTCGATCAGCCATTTTATCTATCTAATGTGTCAACGTATTAGTGACGTTTCTCATCAACTTCTTATTTTATTGCAGTGTTTTGATTATTTGTGGTTAAACAAAAACGATGAAGCAAATGATATTTTCAGATCACATTCAAAAAATGATGATGATGCCACACAGAATTTTGTTTTGCCTGAACATAAAAAATTTCTTAAAAATTTGCACAAAGAGCTTGGCAAGAAAACTTTAATAGAATTGAATACGTTGAAATGGTTATCTAAAACCGCTCTTCAGATTGACAAAATAGCTTTTTGTGCTCCTTATGATTTGGATCGGTACATTTTAAATACATTTTATTTGTTATTTTTCAATATAATTTTTTTTGATGAATTTTTTTCGCTAACTTGAATTTAATTAATTCAGATTTTTGATGATCTCAGCTTGGTACATAGAAAATGGGGAGATAAGAGACTTTTTAAGACTTATTTTTCCTAATTTACAAGATTGCCTAAAGGTTTTTTTTTTTTTGTTTAATTGTAAACAAAATTTCCACTTTTTTTAAATATTTTTTTTTTTTATCTTATTTCACCTTAATTTTTAGATGAAAGAACCAAGAAAGGCCACTAATGAGCAAGGATCACCTATAAAGGCTATAGCCACTTTGTTTGAAAATGTATCATCACTTGATCGACTTGGGACTAATTGGGAACAGTTTTTATCAAAGAGAGCCGTTACTACAAGAAAGAGTTCTATAGTTGAAATTCCAACATTGGTCGATATTGAATTTTTCCTTTTGATTTTATTGATACAAAGACAATATCATTGCATTATCAGGCTAGGAGCCAAAACTTTAGGTCAAATATTGTATTTAACATCAAGAGGTTGTTGGAAAACCAGCGTAGATCAGAAAAGGTTTTGGCAAACATTATTATCATTTTATGGAAAGGTAAATTACATTAAAGCATATTATAATATAAATAAATTTTAAAACTAACCTTTTACTTTATTTTATTGTATAATAGAATGATCCAGATAAACGTATTTACGCTAGTAATCTAATGATCAATGAAGAATTTACACAATGTCTTCGAGAAATACGTGGTGACATTAATATTCGAGATTATGATTTTTATGATGGTCAAGGTAAATTGATCGTGAATTTGCAAAAAGATTTATTTTTGATTATGGCTGTTTTATATGAGGTATATATAGAAATTTCTATAATCTTATCGATTTGAAAAATTAAAAAACCTAATTTAAAAAAAAAAACTTCCATTAATGAAAATGAAATGGTTAGTCGATGATTCATCATCACCATAGATCGCGGTTCGTTGAGGGTTTACGTTGTGTGGAAACCTATCAAAATTGGGATCAAAAAATTTCAAAAAAAGAACCCACGAGTTTTTCATTGTATGAAAGACATGAAAGATTTTTTATTCTTGATACGGAAATTAAAGAACCAGGATATCGAATGTAATCACTTTGAATTAATTAAGTTTACCATAGGTGTTTCCTAATTTATAACCAACCGTATATGTATATTTTTAGATTTATTCCCGATAAAAAGGATTTGGGACCGAATGATTTGACTGAACATTTATCATCAATATTCAATCTCCATGATGAATCTATAGTACAACAAAATGAATCAGTAAAGAATCAATTCGATGCATCGATTGATGATATTGACACCTTTATAGAGGAGAACTCCTCAACGGATCAGATAGATATTTCATTCGAAAACGAAAGTAATATTGATGGTAGTGATGGTGATGGTGAAAACGTCCAAACAACAAAGGAAAAAAGTCTTGATATTTTGGCTGAACCCCTGAATCAAAAAGCGAACCTTATTTTTAATGAATTGATTAATGAAGAAAATTCGGTTCTATCAGATGAAGAAAGCGAAGATGAGGATGAGGATGAATCAAGCGATGATGAAGAGGATGATGATGATGATGACGAATTAGAAAATGGAGATGAAAATGAAAATTTAGATGAAGATGAGAATTTAGATGAAGATGAAAATTTAAATTATGATGAAAATTCAAATGATGATGAAAATTATGATGATGAAAATTTCTATGAAAATTTAGATGATGAAAATTTAGAAGAACAATTTCATTCCATGAGTGTTACATCCCAAGGAAATTATGTCCAAGATGATGTTGTTTTTGATGATGATGATGATGATGATGTTAATTTAAGTCATGATGATGATTTAATTCACATCGGTCAAGATATGCCTGTACATGAGAAGCCTTTGGTTGGTGCCGATACTTCATTTTCATCCATGGATAACAAGCAATTAGAGGAAGATTGGGAAGTGAGCATGATAGGAAATGTAGAAGATAGGGTAAAAATCGATTTTTTAAAGGAAATCACTGACGGTTCATCACAAGAAAATAAAGCTGATGATGTAAGTTGTTTTAAAATACGTTCAATTGAAGTCGAATGAATTTATTTATTTAATAACTTTCTAATTTCCGTGCATCAAAGAAAAATGATGAGAATTTAATAGAGCAAGTTCCTATAATTCCGATAAGTATGTATTTAAATCCAAGGTTAAAATGTTTATATTAATCATTAATGTAAAGTTCACCATTTATAGTAGCAGTTGATGATGATAAAGAAGTCAACTCGGAGATAGAAGATTCAAACCTATCATAACTAACATAATTAGTTACTTAAACTTATACTAATATAAATAATACTTTATTGAACATATTGAATTTTATTAATTATGTGGGGTATTGAACACATGTATAATATTATATATAGAAGAAGTATTGTGATAAAACATTTTAAAATTATTTGCTTTCTAAAAATTAACGAGTTATACAAATTTCTATAGGCTTAAACAAATGTTTTCAATTGTTCTTTCATACAGACGATTTTTGTTATAATTATGAATCCATTTTTGCGGAGAAGCAATTTATCCATCTCATGGGAGAATAAAAATTGTTCGATCAATTAGCAAAATTTTTTTCTTTGAATCGAAAAATCTTCATCTTTCTACTTTAAATAAAAAAAAAAATCTTGATTTCTTTAACGTTATTTTATTTTTAAAATACACCATCATGATTAACATATACCATCATATTTAAATCGAATTAAAAAACGATTCTACAATGCATTCTGTAAAATTTTAATATTGCAATTTCAATTACGATTAAAATCAATTTCAAAGTGTAGAAAAATTTATATTTGTTTATATTGTCTAAAACAAAACAAAATTAATAATTCATTCTTTAGTTTTTCAATTTAATATAAAAGTTTAAAATGGGTGATGTGGTTGATAATGCTATTTCTTGATCCGAAATATTCAATAATTTATTACATAAATTTGATAATGTATCCCGAATCTCTTCTTTGGATCGATTAAGACGCCATTTATTTTAGAATTATCAATTGCATGATTAAAAAATCATGATTTGTGGCGCAACATATTCTTGAGAAAATTGCTATTATCTTCTGAACATATTATATTATACTATTATCAATGACTAGTTATTAAGTAAATTTACACACAGTGTTTTAATAATAAAAAAAAAATGTTGAATTAATTAATTATCATAAACTGCAATTCCGCAAGCTATAGGATGATAGTTAGGATCAACTTCATTGATACCAACTGAAGATTTATCATAAATATCACCGATACTAACTAAAATAGCGAATACATCAGGACCAGGTAAATCGGCTGGTACTAAAACTTCCTCTGAAATATTCAATGCAGTACCAGCTTTAATTGGACACTTTATTCCAGTCCTAGAACAAATATCCATAGTAAAAGGTTCAAATAATGGAGAAAGACCTTCTCGATTAACAAATTCAACAACAAATGAATCGCCAATTATGACATCTTTGTCTAGTTTTCCAGAAATAGTAAAAATATTGAGTTTTCCAGCAACGAGAGGATCAGGTGAAAGTGTTATGTTGGGTAGTACTGGAACAGGGAATAAAAAAACACACTGGAAAAATTTAGCTGTTGGGTGAGGAGGTATTAGAATGGAATTGATCATTGAAATCATGGCCAATATAATGGATGCAAAAATAAATTTTTTCATGACGTTTGTTTTTTTTTATGGTCTTTCTTTTGTCAAGTATTTTTCTTTTTTATTTTTTTTTTTATTGTTGACCGAGTATTTTGAAATTATACCTTTTTATAATTTTCGTAATAATGTTTGGATTTTTTTTTGAATTGAATTGAAAATACATCACATGTATTTGAGCCATTCTTTGGGATGATTGTCACTAAAATATAAAAAATGTTTTTATTTTAAATTATTGGCAACGGGGAAACTATATCAGTCGAAGACCGATATTATACTGAAATTAGGACTATAAAGTTGATCAACGTTTTAATATGAATAATAACTAAACTATAATACTTTTTATTCACTAAAGAGGAAATGTTAAAAATCCGAATTTTAAGTTTTTCATCAATTATTCTTATTTCAACCAACGATTGACCTTTAAAAATGGGATGTTTCGATTACTATTATCCCTTAAGACAGCAGCTGTTTATAAAATCGATTAACATCTTTTTAAAACCACTATGCTTAATAACTTGTTTATATTACAATAGAATTATATTCTTCACTAGTATCGATCAGATTAAAAAATCTGACATTAAAGGTTCTAAATAAATATCGATTTCATAAGCAAAACTAACATATATAAACAAACTATTTTCTATATTAGTTTCTTTTAGGTAGATGATTAACAGTTTTTTCAGTTCAGTTAATCGTTCACTGGTGAGGAATAAAAGATTTTATTTTTTTCAAAAAGAATAAAGAAAAGTCTATAAAAAAATTACATTAATAATAAATAAAATTAAAGTCGTTATATTATTTAAGAATGTCCTGCATTTTGCTATATACAAGTGTTGACGGCTATTATTAAGATGGATGAAAACGGGAGAATCTGATGCCCTCACTTTCCCATGCAATAAAATTCTTATTTGAAAGCTCATGAGAATCACACAAAAATATACCGATCATTGTGTTTCCATATTAAAAAGTAAAAACCAAGAAAAGAAAATGATTTTAAAAAAAAATAAATAAATAAAATAAACGGTGGCAGGTGAAAATTATTGCAAAAATAAAATTTTTTATAGGCACCAATGTACAAATTTAAATATTTTTTTCTTATATCAATAAATCTTAACCATTTACTTCTCTCATAAAACTTAATACATAAAATTTAAATACGATGTAATCGCCAACTTACATTTATCACTTTTTTTTTTCCCTTTTGATCGTTACCTATTTTTTCCACAAGCAATCGATAAATTAACTTTGTGCATGTTTCATGAATTCAACTGAAGAAACAAATGATGTATATTTTAAAAATTAATTTATGTTTAAAATAAAAATAGAAAAAGTCATAAGCTGACTTAAGTGTCATCCTAAAGATATTGTGGCTGTCAAGAATTCTCCTCAGGTAAATTGTATTTCTTTATCTCATAATTGACTAATTAATTTGTTTTCTAGCATCATGTTGTTGGTGATAATAAAAGCACTTTCGATTTAATTGTTTACAAAAAGGAAGTCACTGTGAAATGCAGATACGGATTAATTGATATTCAGCATTTTAAAAACGCTTTTTCTTTTCAAACTTGATCAAATTCTTTAGATATGAAAACATATTATGATTTATATGGTACGCCTAAATGTCACAGATCATATTATTCTGCATTCCAAGTAAATTCTTTATAATAATAGACCTCACCATGATAATTTGATCAATTAAAATAAGGAGGATTAGTTTCAAAGGTTTTTTTTTTTTATTTTCATAAATATCATCATTTTATTAACGGAATGCCTCTTATCATGATTAGATCATTAAACCACTAACAGAATATTAGCATCTACATATACTTTTTATGAAATATTAAAATTCTTGACAGTTGTTGTGAGGAAGAACTAGCTTTAAATTTCTGGAAAAATATCCTCAGGAAAAAAAAAAAATTTAAATAAATAAAATGCTTTGTAATCAATGCTCTTTAAATAATATAAAATTAAAAATTCTCGCTGGTTGATTTTTAAATAAAATTTTAACTATTTAAAATTACAAATAGGAAATTCATTAAGCTAGTTTTCTATAAAGAGGAATGTCAAAATAGATAGAAGCGAACAAATTATTTATTTGCTTATCAAACGACTCAAACGAATGACACAAATTTTTATTGGTTGGATCACACTTATCTTGTTTTCTGCGTCACATTTTTAGCATAACCTGTCATGCATGAACTCATAATTCATTATTTATAGGGATGAAACGATCCTAAAAGTCCCAATAATTTGCCAGTTCTAGAGAAGATTTTTATTTTGCTTGCGGTATATTTTACTTTCTAATGATGATGTATTAATTGAATATTTATATTAAACTTATGCGGAAATCCAGAATCTTAATTTTATGAAACTTAGGACCCGGTCCTAAGAACTGGGTCTCACCTTATTGCAGTGATGTCCATTTCCTATGTCCCAAGCATTTGCTGTCCCAGCTATATGTCCCAACTATATGTCCCAACTATGTCCCATATATGTCCCAAATGTCCCATCTGTCCCATCAATGTCCCATCAGTGTCCCATCAGTGTCCTAACTATGTCCTATGACAACACTGCCTTATTGATATAAATGTTAAATTAAAAAATTTTAAATATAAATTTTAATTAGTTTTTAAATAATATTAAATTGATTATAATAATATTTAATGATTCAAATTAAATAAAATTTTTACTATATAATAAATGGATATTATATTTATAATATAGCAAAATTTGAGTTAATTTAAATTACTAGTTATTGATATTTTTGACATATATTTAATATAAACTATTTATTAAAAAATCAAAAAATATTAAAGTTTTTGAATATTTATTTTATGAAAGATTTGCTAAAAAAATAAGATTCTGAGAAATTTTTATTAAAATTTTAATTTTTATTACATTTTAATTTTTGATAATATTAAATTAAAATGCAATTTACATAATTTATAATAAAATTTTAATAAAAAATTCATTTTCCTAGTAAACCTTCCTTATATTAATTATCTTAACAACTAGTAATTCAAATTAACTCAAATTTTGATATATTATAAATATAATATTTATTTATTATATGAGAGGTTTGCTAAAAAAAATGGGACTTAAAGAATTTTTTATTAAAATTTTTAATTTTATTGCATTTTAATGTTTGATAATATTAAATTAAAATGCAATAAAATTAAAATTTTAATAAAAAATACCCAGAGCCTCATTTTCCTAGCAAACCTCCCATATATTAAAATTTTATTTGATTTGAATCATTAAATATTATGAAAATCAATTTAATGTTATTTAAAAGCTTTAACTAAAATCAAATATTTAAAATAAATTTTAATTTAATGTATCTTAATATTTAATAATTCAAATTATCTGAAATTTTAATATAATTAGTTTAAGATTGTATCTAAAATATATCAAAATTTGGTAAAATTCTAATTGGTAAGTTTTGAGAAATATAATATCAAAAATGGCATTTAGATAATCAAGATCATTCTTTGTAAATTAAAAGAATTATGTAATATTACTAAAAAAAAAAAATATATTATGAAAATTTATATTTTATTAAAGCAAAATTACAATTCTACTTTTATATCTTCAATAAGTAAAAGCTTGCTATTATTTCTGATAATCTCCTGTATAATCCATCAAAATCTGATATAATGATACTTTTTATAAATAATATCTATTTAATGCTTGATTTCAAAGGTATATATAGGTAGGATTGGTATGTATAAGTATTATTTATTTTATAAATTAAGGAGTAATATAGTTTTTTTCATTTAAAATAAACTATATTATTTCATTTCTATGAATAAATGTGTAATTATTAAAAGCATTTTACTCATTATTGCTTATTATTAATAATATTTATATATAATTTGTGATTATATGATTGAGAAATAAATTAGGGATAGGGATCATTCATCAGTTTTATTTCAGTTTTTTATTAACTTTACTTTAGCTCTTATTATGTATATGTTAAATTTAAAATACAGGTAATATAGATAAAGAAGATTAATAGATAAAATTTAATTAGTAATTAAATAATTGTTGATTATAATTGTTATAATTTTGAAGATAAGTATAGTGAACTCTTGATATAACAAATTCTAGGATCTGGATATCAACTTCGTTATAAGCTTATCCCTTAAATCGTAGGGTTTTGCAGGCAAATTTGCCTGCTTATTTACTATAAATTCTCTTCTGATTTACTTTTA